GTAGATGCTCTGGCAGGGAAGGTGTCTGAAGAGAGAGCATGAGGGCTTGCTCCTGAGGTGCTGGTAACAAACTGCCCCTTGGATGAGGATTCTGTGTTTCCTTGAGAAAATTCACTCACACATGTGTATATTTCTCTGTATATATTTCAATATAAAATATTTAAAAAAATTTTAAGTTGTAGGTAGACACAATACCTTTATTTTATTTTATTTTATATGGTGCTGAGGATTGAACACAGTGCCTCACTCATGCTAGATGAGCACTCTACCACTGAGCCAAACCCCTAGCCCCCCAATATAAAAAATTTTTAAAAGGCTTATAAAAGAAGTTTTAAGCAATAGAGGAAATGATCTTTAAACAAGGAGGATCATTTCCTTTAATTATGGTTCATGTTTTTTCTTCCTAGAATTATAATATTATAATAATGAAAAGATGTTAAATTAGAACATAAGAGAACCAGTTAGTCTTAAATGTTAAAATATATAATTTAGCTGTCTTTCCTATCATATATTAAGAGAAATAGTCATTTCAGTGCACAGACATTAGAACAGCTCTGACTCCAATTAGGAGGATGATCCAGGCTTAGGAAATATTGCTGTGGCCACTGTCTTGATGTTTAAATACAGAGTTGTAGTTGTCAATCAGCTGACTAGAACCAGTCGTGAAAACTGATTGCCTACAGCATGAAGCTCTTCCTGGTAATTGTTTCTAGATAATAAGGCAGACAACTGAGCAAACTGTTAAATAACAATAACTTGATTATAAGAATCTTCCCTTTGGCAGAGATTGAAATTAAGAAGTGCTGAACATTGCAGACTACAGGGATATGATGCTACTATGTCCTTCCCCTGGATTCAAATTGAGATCCAATGAAAAATCTACTAGGCTTCTATGTGCTTTTTTTTTTTTTTTTAAAGAGAGAGAAGGGGGGAGAGAGAGAGAGAGAGAGAGAGAGAGAGAGAGAGAGAGAGAGAGAATTTTTTAATATTATTTTTTAGTTTTTCGGCGGACATAACATCTTTGTATGTGGTGCTGAGGATTGAATCTGGGCGGTAGGCATGCCAGGCGAGCACGCTACCGCTTGAGCCACATCCCCAGCCCCTTCTATGTAGGCTCAGAATGAACATGTTCAAAACTTATTTTAAGAGAAGCCATAATTTTAGATTTGACCATCAATAAGTTGTAATTTTATACAAGTCTAGAAAACACATCACACCCAATTCAGAATAACCTGTTCAGGAAAAGGACTGACAATACCTCAAACTTTATTTAAAGTATTCTCTATCTTGAAAACCAGTTATAACACAAACACTGTTTTAGTATTAAAGCTCAATGATTTATTTACTTATTTATATAAATTATTTTATTTTATAAAACTTTGAAATACAGGAAGAAAAAAAACCCTTGAACCTTAGGCATAATAGATATTCATTCTTTAACAGTAATGCTTTTCAACAACAGCTTCCCAATCTCTCATGTATATAAGCTCCTCTTGAAGACTTAGGATTTTATTTTAGCAGTGCTGGGTACTGAATGTAGGACCTCGAGTGTGCCAAGCAAAAGCTATACCATTGAGCTAAATGTCCATCTGGAGCTCTCCTTAAGAATGCAAATTAAAGGGCTGGGATTGTGGCTCAATGGTAGAGAGCTTGCCTAGCATATGTGAGGCTCTGGGTTTGATTCTCAGCATCACATACAAATAAATTTTAAAAAATTAATCAACAATAAAAATATATTTTTTTAAAAAAATGCAAATTAACTGATTCTTGGAATTTCAAAAAAAAATGTTGCTGGTCAAAAGCTATAGTAAACATTGTACAGTGTTTTGGGGCCAGATATGTTTATCTGTCTATGTAAATATGACAGTCATAATATTTTAATAACAATTATGTGATGGTAATTTAGGTTCTAGTAATGGGTTTTCAAATCTCAGCTTCTTAAAAATCAGTCTATGATTTCACCCTCCTACCTGACCTACAGCTATTCATTGAGTCCAGTCAACAATTTCTACGATAATTGTTGAAATGAGAAGATATCTTTTGATATAGACATGCAAAAGATATTTTTACCTGTGAAGATTCTGAATTAATTTTTAGGAATTGAGAACAACACTTTGCTAATGTATATTTTTACTATAACTTAAGACAAGGGTAGATAAAAGTACATTTATTACAAGAGAGTATTATGGGGTTACTAATATGGCTGAAGGTACTGAAATCTCTTACCCAAATCACATAATAATGGTAAAATATTTTGGAGTAGTGATTAGGGTTATCAGCTCTGGAATGATATAATCTGTTGTTGTCTCTTACCTCAGTCACTTGCTAAGAGTGACTTGGGGCATTTACTTTACCTTTTAGCATCTCAGCTATACAATAAGGATATATAAGGTTGTAGTGAGGATTAAATGAATTAATTCACGCAAGGCACTCAAAACAGAGCTCAGCTAAATAAATTCTAGGTATCATTATCTTCAAGATGATTAATGGCATGAATATACTGTTTTCTAGAAAGTCATGCAGTAACACAGATGACTTGATTTGGTCATGTGTTTACTATGGCTTCTGAAAAGGGCATTCCTCTGTGACAGCTCAAGTTCTACTCTATTAAACATCATTCTTTTTGTCTTTGAATGCAAATATCATTTAATTACTTATTCACTTTTAATAAGAATCTGCATTAGGTTAAAAGAGATAAAAAGAGGCAGTAAACAATAGGTTCTGTGGAAAATATTGGTCTGAGTCTCACCAAGGGAAGTTTGATAGTGGTGTGTGTATGGGGTGGTGGTGGTGGGGAATCCCCCTCCAGCCAATCTGTCCAGTTGTACTTATGCTTAATTAGATCCTCAGACCAAGATCAGCGAGCATAGAAAAGGCAGCTATAAATCATGCCACCTGACAGACACACAAGAAACGGGGATAGAAAGGCACTAGCATATGGGCAGGAAATCTAGGTTGWTTTATTTGCATTGAAACAAATTCAAGAGGGATCAGGGAACTCACAAGATTTATAAATTAATTCCCTGTGGCATCATAAAAGGCAGCAGTCTGACAATAGGAAGGATGAGTTAGATTTGATGCTAGACAAGAAGGGTAGAAAGAGCCTTATCAAATTGTAGTGAAGAATTTCCTACATCTGGAATTGATGACAAAAAAAAAAAAAAAAAACCAGATGGATGAAAAGAGACTGGGATGGATCCACATTTCCCAACCTCTGGATTTCACTTACCTGCAATTAAGTAGAATTCATCAAAAAATATCTATTTCTTTACACAGTTCAAAAAAGGCTTCAAGGAGATAGTGAGTAATCAAAAATTTTCTCAATCTCAAAATGCAATATTTTGTAATGAAAGTAACAATACTTTCATAAAATAAGCACATTTTGATAGATTTAATAGATTTAATCCTTATACATGTCTTTCTTATGCTTTGTGACTACTTCTTTTTAAACGATTCCAGCAATTAGCAGATAATATAGCTATAGGTAGATGTGTTGATTTATCAAAATGTGTGTGGGGGGGAATTTTTTAGACTTCAACATTCATTTGATCTATCCACCCAATAATGTAGATGAGGAAGTTACAGCCTAAATAGGCAAATTAGGTAGCTTGTAGCCTGATTTATAAAAAAATAAAAACCAAATTAGCTAGCAACGAAAAAATCAAGAGATTTAAATAAAAAGCTAGATTCTCTGGGGAAAAATGGAGGCTTAGATAACAGAGTTTACACTGTTTATGGTCACAACAAGTGGAACTAAAGAGGCTGCCTCTGTAGACATAGCATGTGGCCCCTAGTTTATTAGTTTTTTTTCTCCTACTGCCTCACACCACTTCACTCACTTTTATTAATGATATCTGCCTGGCCCATATAGTGCTAGGGGCAGGCRCTATACTTTGCATGTAATAGTACTTTGTAAATTATGAAGTGCTGTCTGTATATTAGCTGATGGTGTTATTACTGCTCAAAGTTACACACTTATTTATCAATAGAGTGGGAGCTACACAGCCCATGTCTCATGGACTCAGTTTAGTGTTCTTTCTATAGTACCATGCTGTTTCATACAAATAAGAAAAGAAGTAACAGTTACAGAATGGGAATTCTTACATTTGAAGAAATAAAAAGAAAATGTCTTGGCTTATAATAAAGAGTAGATAAATTGTAGGACAATGAATAGAACAGTTTCTCTTTCTCTCTGCAACCTCCTTCTTTATCACTTTTCATTTTCTTCAACCTATGCCAAAGGGAGTATGAATACATGAATGAAGAAAGCACAGAATGGTTTTGCTAGTGATAAGAAAAAATAGTGAGGGCTGTAGGTAGTTCAGAGGTAAAAGGCTTGCCTAGTATGTGTGAGGCCCTGGATTTTGATCCCCAATGCTATACAAGATAAGTAAAGAAAGAAAAAAAAAATATTGATTTAATGGCTAGGAAATTCCAAACTACAAAGATAAAACTTTTTTTCTTGAGAGAGAGAGAGAGAGAGAGAGAGAGAGAGAGAGAGAGAGAGAGAGAGAGAATTTTTTTTAATATTCATTTTTTTTAGTTTTCAGCGGACACAACATTTTTGTTTGTATGTGGTGCTGAGGATCGAACCCGGGCAGCACGCATGCCAGGTGAGCGCGCTACCTCTTGAGCCACATCCCCAGCCCCAAAGATAAGTCTTGAAGCAAATATTAAAAGTATAGATTAGGCTGAGGAAGCAGAAGGCAATTCCAGAAGTGAGGACAGTGAATGGAAAATGCTACTATTTTGTTTCAAGTAAATCTGGATATCGTTAGCAAGAACAATCTAGATAAAATTACTTGGTTGTGGCTTAGAGGAAGAATTATTCATACTAAATACTTAACATACAAAAACTTAGAACTGAAGAGAGAATAATTTTAACATTAACATTTTTATTTGACCAAGTCAGTAAGAGCTATTGAATCATTAAATATAGACTAAATCACAATTTGCTATCAACTTCTGAATACTGTATATCCTAACCAAACAGAAGGTTTTCACTTTCTATGATAATAATTATAATGGTTTCCATCCAGCTGATGTTGCATAGAAGAGGTTGATACTTGTGTATACAGCAATACAGGATGAAGCTGGAGCTGCCAAGTGCAACATAAAAGGGAAACTATCAGTGCCTAGCATTAATGTGTTCTTTTTTTTTGTACCAAGGATTGAACTCAGGGGCACTTGGTCACTGAGCCACATCCTCAGCCCTATTTTGTATTTTATTTAGAAACAAGGTCTCACTAAGTTGCTTAGTGCCTTGGCTTTGTTGAAACTGGCTTTGAATTTGTAATCCTCCTGCCTTAGCTTCCCAAACTGCTGGGGATTACAGGAGTGCGCAACTGTGCTGGCTCAATGTGCTCTTTGAGGAATGACTGTCAGTCATGCCAAAAGCACCTGCACTAGCCAGGAACAGTAGTGCAAGCCTATAATCCCAGGGGCTTGGGAGGCTGAGGCAGGAGAATCATGAGTTCAAATTCATCAGCAAAAACGAGGTGCTAGGCAATTTACTAAGACACTGTCTCTAATAAAAAATGCAAAATAGGGCTGGAGATGTGGCTCACTGGCCAAGTGTCCCTGAGTTCAATTCTCCGTACAAATGTATAGATTTATATATAACAATGGTTGCATGAATGCTTTGGGGGCTGGTCTCAATATGAATAAGAATTTAAACAGCTTAGTGAGGTGGATGAATGTCCAAACATTTTACTTTCCACCAATAGTTTCTGTTTCCTTCCAGCTACTTTAATACATGATGTTTAATTTTCCTTTATTTACAACTTTGCAGCTTTACTGTTGTTCTCTTTTTATAGAATGTAAAATAATTTTATTGTTTTCTCTCCAATTTTCAACTAATTTTACTAGCATGAGTGGGTTTGTCCAATTGTCCCAGAATTGGTGACCAGGACTCAAAGATGATGACAAGTAAGAGCTATGCAACCCATACATGACAAAGACAGCTTAGTAAGAAGCGGCAAAACAAGCACTACTGTTACCAGTCCAGTAGCTTAGCATATGCCTTTGTACACAAGACAGATATGTGCTAACACTGGTGAAGGATTCCTCACATGGGGAGTTATCTGTTCATTCACAAGACTGCCTAAGCCAAAAAAGAGGGGCTCAAAGAGAACCTCCCTAAATATTGGGCATAAGAAAAGGAGAGACTTTTTAATCTCATTTTTTATCTCATTTTTTCATTTGGTATCTACTTAGGCATCATTTGCCTTGTGTATGCCTGAGAAGGAAAAAAAGAGAACTGGAGACAGATGAAAGGATGGACAGAGAAGTGTGAGGCGGCCTACAGAATCTTGCCATTTGGCATGTAAAGATTCACGAGTCTCCTGTGGGTCAAGTTACATAACCAAGTAGCCAGGTTTGTGTCTTTTGCCTCCTGCTTCATGCCAACAGGGTCAAGTTGGCTAGTGAAGCAGTGTCAGAGGACTCAAACAATACCCACAGGAGGAAGAAAAAGGAGGAGAGAAAGAGCACTTGTCCCTTTCTCACTGCAGGTCCCTTCAGTGAGCTAAGGGGAGAGAGAAAATGAAACAACTTTTTCTTTATTGTATGATCTGCTTTCTTACACCAGATTAAAATAGTCTTTTCTAGAGTTTAAGACAAATGTGGAATCATATAGTTAGTATGTACTTTTCTGTCTTCTTTTGATCAGTGTGTTTTTGAGATTTATCTATATTGTGTGTATGTGTAGTTCATTTCTATTTTATGCTGAGTAGCATTGCATTGCATGAGTCTGTTCATTCATTTGCTGTGGTAGCCAGCCTTCAAATTGGCCTCCAAGGATCTCATTCTCCAGTTGTTCACACCATTGTGTTGTTCCCTCCCATACTGTGCAAGTGTTGTTTACGTGAACAACGGAATAAAGCAGAAGTGATGGTGTGCTATTTTGTTTTAATTTTTTAGTTGTTGATAGACCTTTATTTTATTTATTTATATGCGATGCTGAGAATCAAACCCAGTGCCTCACACATGCCAGGCAAGAGCACTACTGCTGAGCCCCCGTCCCAGCCCAATGGTATGCTATTTTTGAGGTTAGATTATAAAAGATACTGGGTATTTCATCTTAGTTGCTCCCTTTTTCTCTTGTGGGTCACTTGCTTAGGGAAAAGCCAGCTATTGTGTTCTAACCAACTCTATGGAAGAACCATATGCTGAAAAGCTAAGAGTCACATGAAAAAATCTGGAATAGATCCTCTAGTCCTATTCAAACCTTCATGTGGCTGCAGGCCTGGCTGACAGCCTGACTGCAAACATAGAAGGGACCCTAAATCAGAACTACCTGCTAAGATGCTCCCCAATCTTGATCCTCAAAAACAGTATGAGACAATAAATAATTATTTCTTTTTTAAAATAAATATTTTTAGTTTTAGTTGGACATAATACCTTTATTTATTTTTGTGTGGTGCTGAGGATCGAACCCAGGGCCTTACACGTGCTAGACAAGCGCTCTACCACTGAGCCACAACCTTAGCTCTTAAGCTACTACATTGAGGGTAATTAAAAAAATATGTTTTTTAGTTGTCAGTAGACCTTTTATATTTTATTTATTTATTTATTTATATGAGATGTTGAGAATCAAACCCAGTGCCCAAAAGTGCTAGGCAAGCGCTCTACCACTGAGCCACAACCTTAGCTCTTAAGCTACTACATTGAGGGTAATTAAAAAAATATGTTTTTTAGTTGTCAGTAGACCTTTTATATTTTATTTATTTATTTATTTATATGAGATGTTGAGAATCAAACCCAGTGCCCAAAAGTGCTAGGCAAGCGCTCTACCACTGAGCTACATCCCCAGCCCCTGAGGGTAATTTTTTTTTTGTAGTAACAGATAACTAATATATATTGGCAACTGGGAATGAGATAGTTCTGTAACAAAACTTAAAATGTAGGAGTGAAGACCTGGGAAGACCTGAGTAGAGTGTTAGGGAAAATCCAATATTGCTGTGTGAAAGGGTAAAGTTTCTAAGCTGCAAAGCCTGAGTTAAAATGTAAAGGACTAGGTATTGTAAAGTTTCTGAACTGCACACAGAACCTGAAATTCCTGAGGCAGTTAAGATAATGCCCGGTACTGACCATTTAGTTGTTAAATAACCTGGACCCTGTGCAGTTTGGCACGTAGGCATTCAGGGCCCAAACCAATCAGTTTGAATGTATCCCCTCCTTAGGACTGACCTATCACTCCCGACCGACCTGTTCCCGCCAATGAATGTACTAATCATGTTTGAGAATTGTTGTTTGATTTTCCCGCGGTGTATGGTGATTTGTTAAAGGAGACTGTGATGTATGTAAAGTCCCTGCCCTCCCTAAAAAAGTGTACTTAAGCACTGCTCAACCCCTGCTCGGGGCTCTTGGCCGCTCTCCCGTCTTGAGTGAAACACCATTATGCAGATAAATAATCACAGTACAGGTGGTCCAGAGGAAGAAGAGATGGAGAAAGGCAAATAAAAGGCCTGTTTAATAATAGCTGGGCATGGTGACATGTGCCAGTGGCTTGAGAGGCTGAGGTAGGAAGATCACAAATTCAAGGCCAGCTTAAGTAATTTAGTGAGGCCCTTAAGCAACTTAGTGAGACCCTGTCTCAAAAATAAAAAAAATAAAAAGGGCTGGAGATGTGTTTCAGTGGTTATAAACACCTCTGGGTTCAACTCCTGGTAACCCGCAAAGCACTCCCCCCATAGAAAGGTCAAAGACAATTCTAAAAACAACAAGAAGAAAGAGATCACTTAAAAGTGAATCCATGTTAGGTTATTAGCATATTTCTCAGCAGAAACCTTGCAGTTCAGGAGAGAAGGGTCTGATATATTCATAGTGCTGAAAGGAAAAAAAAAAGTCTCATCCCAGAATATTATACCCAGTAAAGCTATCCTTAGGAAAGGATAAATAAAGAAGAAAGAGGGGGTGAAATGAAGTCCTTTCCAGATAAGCAAAAGCTATGGGACTCTGTCACCACTAGTCTGTCCTTACAGGAAAGAGAGTCCTTTAATCTAAATTAAAAAAGATAATTACTATTATAGAAACACAAGGAAAAAATATAAATTAACTAGTAGACATAAATTTATAATCAAATTCAGCATGCTCCATTTTTGCAATGGAGTATTTGGAGGTTAAAAGAACACAGTTAGGCATGGTGGTGCACACCTGCAATCCCAGCAACTTGAGAGGTAGAGCCTGGAGAATTGAGAGTTCAAGGCTAGCCTCAGCAACTTAGCAAGACCCTAAGCAACTTAGTGAGACCCTGTCTCAAAGTAAAAAATGAAAAGGGATGTTGATGTGGCTCAGTGATAAAGCACCTCACGGTTCAATCCCCAGTAATAACAAGAAGAAACAATACAAAACTGAGAGAAAGGCCATATTGTGACAATCACTGTGCTGTGGTTAAACAGACAGTATTAATGCTTTACAGGGTTCTATATTGAGTTTATATGAAATCTAGAGTGGGTGCCTGACAATCACAGAGAGGGCTTCTTCATGACTTACAGTCTGAACACATTGGTTGGCACCCACCACATCACATCTGGAATTTATTAGACAACCTTCAGTTTTTATTTTTTTTCATCAGCCCTGGCCCTTTCCTCTGATGCAGGCTCTCCAAGTATTGCTTTGCCATGAATGAGTCAAGGAGATAAGTCACCCTGGGTGTGAGTAATTGGGAATACATTAGGGATAACCCCCAAATCTGTATGTCCCTATTTCTTTACCTCTTTTTGAGGATAGGAATCACTCATGAATGCCAAGAACTTCTTAGGGCAGTGGCAGCTCTATTTACTGGAAGCCTGGTCAATGCTGACTGCTTCTCTGTTAGGAAATAGTCTTTAGATTGTGGCACATTCCAGCAATTCAAGGACTAGAAGCTTTAAATTAAAACAACATTGATGCCATATCCTCTTTCCAAAAGGCCTCTCCTTTGTCCAAAAGTTAGTACACACACTTAGAAGAATTAAAGAACTAAATGTCTTTAAAGAATTAAATGCCTTTGGCATGACTCCTTCCTTCTCGCTCATACCATCCCATTTTTGAGAGATAAAATGACCATAGGAAGAAATCCTAAGAACTATAAAACATTCAGGGCATATAGTTAGAAAAAGACACTGCATTTTTTTTTTCTTTTTGCTATGCTAGGGATCAAAGTTAGGGACTTCTGCATGCTAGGCAGGCTCTCTTCCCCTGAGTCACATCTCCAGCCTGTGGGAATCTTTACTCCTCTCTATGTTAAAATCAAAGATTAATTTCCTTAATTAAAAAAATTTAGATGTTGACTGACCTTTACTTTATCCATTTATTTATATGTGGTGCTGAGAATCGAACCTAGTGTCTTACACATGCTAGGCAAGTGCTCCACCACTGAGCCCCAGCCCAGCCCCTAATTTTCATCTCCAAAAACAGGAGAGACAAGTAATCAGAAGTCCCCTGTGAATGAGATACAATGTTCTGATCTACTAGGCATTCTATTCTATTTGACATGCTAGCGTGAAGGACCAACACTACTCAGATTATATGCTTATATAATTCAGGCTTAAAAAAGTTAAGTAGTATGACATTGTTAAGTTTATATACTCAAAATCAAGTGAACTTTCTTAAACCATAGTATTTTCATATTAATCAGCTTTGGACAGCCAATTTTCAGTTTTCAACTACTAGACAGATGTTAGTAATAATTATAATAATAATAATAAGAAATATTATTAGTAGTAATAACACATTCTTCCTATTTTACTTAATAAGCATTAAAAATATGAGATGATGATGTTCTCATCTTGCTAAACATTATTATAGGACACTGAAAAAGTTTTCTTTCTCTTGTAAATGAGCAATGGATTACTTTTCTGCTGGTCTATTATTTCTCCTATAGAGAAGGGATATATTTTGGTATTTTCCTCAGCCAAATCAGCTACATAAATAAATTTTTTGGGGGGAGAGCACCAGGCATTGAACACAGCGGCAACTGACCACTGAGCCACATCCCAAGCCCTAGTTTATATTTTATTTAGAGATAGGATCTTACTGAGTTGCTTGGCACCTCCCTTTTGCTGAGGCTGGCTTTGAACTTGCAATCATCCTGCCTCACCTCCTGAGCTGCTGGGATTACAGGCATGCGCCACAGCGTCTGACAAATATAAACTCTTTTAATAATCAGTTCTAATATTTATCTACAAAAATACCTTTATTGTATAAATACTTATAAATTTAAACAGCCAAGGTACTACCAATTGCTGACTGATCTCTCTATATAGAAAAGAAGACATTCTTTATTTTAAAAGTTCTTTCCCAGTCCAATTACTCAGGGCAGAAGAGTATATTTAAGAAGCCAAAATGTATAGAAAATGTGACTGAGGATGTAGGATATGACATAAGAAGATAGGATTGTTGATACTGCAAATTGTACAGGACTAGTCAGTGAAGATATTAAAGTTAAAGCAAGGAATTAGATTTGAAAACTCAGCTTTCTCATTATTTTCAAAAGGACAATCTTTCCCCCATTTTATAACTGTGATAAAATATACCTATTTTAAGCATATAAAGTGTATGGGTCTATGAAATATAGTAAGTATTAAATTTTGGAGAGTTTTAAGGTTGGAAAGGGCAAAACTCTATTCATACCTTCAAACACTATTCAACCCTGAATAACAAGAAATCTCTTAATAAAAATATAGTTAAATGCCTTTGTAATAAGAACACAGTTGGATATAAGAAATTCAAATAGGTAGAATTTCACTAATTTCTACTAGCCATAGTATAAAATTAAGAAATGTTCTCATGGAAGACTTATGACATCTTCTAAACCAGCCCTGTTACCAATAATACTCTTGTGAAAGTCAAAATCTCTAATTATGAAAATTAACTGAATACCATTGTCAGATGTCTAATATGAAATACAAGACCCTAAAGTATACACTGGCAAGACAAATGTGGAGAAAATGGTGTGAAAGCTGGTCTCTTGGTCCCCTCCCTGGGCCCCTGACATTACTAATACCTGCTGTTTGAGCTGCTGTACCAGGCGATCCTTCTCACGTTTAAGTGCAGCCACTTCCTCTTGGGTCTTTTTCTTAGAGGACGAAAGTTCTAAAAGAGCTATATTGGCATCTTTCTCACTAATGGCAGCCAGAAGAGCTTCTTGCCTGAAAAAGAAAGAAAATGCATTTTCATTTAACCCTTGTAACAATTCTTTGAAGTTATCATTACCCTCATTTTATGTATGATAAAACCAAGGCTTGGAGAGTTTATGTAGTTTGCTTAAGTTCACACTTGGGTATATGGTACAGCAAGAAACCCAATTCAGGTTTTTCTGATTCTAAATGTTTTTATATTATTATATTGCCATATTAATTCAAGGATTCTTACATAATATTAAATGAAATAATCCAGTCATAGAAGGAAAAATATTGCATGATTTCACTTACATGAGGTTATCTATAATTGTCAAACTCATGGAATCCTAGAATGTACCATAGAGATTACCAGGGGCTAAAGGAAGGGAGAAATAGAGAATTGTGAATCAAGGCATAATTTCTCAATTTTGCAGGATCACAATTCTCAGAGACCTGCTGTACAACATTTTTCTTGTAGTTAACAACATACTGTTTTGTACATTTAAAAATTTAACAGCGTGGATCCAGGTTAAATACTCTTATCTTAAAAATCAAAAATTTTTAAATGTTTAATCTTTGGAAAAACTACATACATAGTTTTCCTTTTGTGCTGGAGAATCACACCCAGGGCCTGGCATATGCTAGGCAAGTGTTCTATCACTGAGCTAAATTGCCAGCCTAATAATAATAACTAAGGGAGCTGGGGTTGTGGCTCAATGGCAGAGCACTTGCCTTGTACATATGAGGCCCTGGGTTTGATCCTCAGCACCACATAAAAATGAATAAACAAAGATATTGCATCCATCTATAACTAAAAAATATTTTTAAAAACAGTAACAACTTAGTATTTCATTAAAAAAGAAAAAAAAGAGTTTCTAGATATAACTATGTTTAAACTTGAAAAATAAAGTTAGTGACTTTTTTTTGTTTAGTAAGAGTAGTCCTGTCTCCTCTGTTTCATCCATGTAACCCTAACCCATTTATTTGATAAGTATGTGTAGCTTCCAGGCAAACTAAGACATTAACTTTGACACTGAAAACATTTTCATGTATAGAATATATAACAAATTGTTAACCTTAGTAAAGTGAATTTAGAAACAAAGCCTATATTCTTGAGGCACTCTGGAGATTGGTAATTATTTTTATCTCATTAATGCAATAAGTTTTTATTGGCAATGATCCACACACTTTCAAATAGTAATTTAAACTTCATAGATTCCTTGTGGTTTGGCTAACTACTTGTGGTTCATGTCCAGAAGGAAAAGGAGTAGATTTAGTAGTGAGGTGGATATAAGAAACTTACGAAATAATCAGAATAAAGTTGGTGAACAATTTAGTCTCACAGTCCAAAATGCATTCTTCAGTAGTTCATCTTTTATGTAAAAAGACAGATTTGATTTACAAGAACTATATAAGTGGCCTGAGCCTTTGACCCGAGGAAATGCTGAATCTGAGAATGTACTGCCCAAGCTTAACTCTGCTTCTGTCTTTTGTTAAGATAATTGAACTTCAATAGCAGTCATATGGAAGAGTTTTAGTTAAGCCACAAACTGGAAGACTATCATTTGAATATTCTAAGGGATATTCTTTATTCTGGATGGGATGATGTACAGAACTCTGAATAAGCAATACTAACAAATGGAGGATATAGATGAGCTTACATCATGGAAATGAAGATTTGTTTAACTAGTATTTGCTATTGGAAAGGAAGATCCTCATGGATCCCAGTATCACTTTCCACTGTCCCCACACTATGTAATTCTAAGAAAGGCAGATGGCTTAAACCAGGAGGCTCCAGTCAACACCAGAGGGATAATGACAGTCTAAATATAGCCAATGGCCACTTGAAAAAAATATGTTAAGTGGTGAAATGAGCGTAAAGGTGAAGGAGTTCAAGATGGTCTAACTATGCAGTTTCCTGTTACTTGCTGTCATCTGTTCCCTTTTGGGAAGCTCAAAGACTGACAAAGTTGAAATGAAAAGAGTGCTTTCTCAAAAAGGGCGCTGCATTTCTTTGCACTAGGAGTCAGAATCACACACTTAGTAGCAGGCAAACAGCAAAAGATGAATGAAAAATTTCATTCTATCTAAATCTAGATATCTAGGTTGAGTAATCAACACTTTCAATAAATGCCAAATATGAAAGTGATAGCATTTGAGTTACTACTTTGTGTTTAAGGAAAGTATCATAATATGAAATATTAGAATTAATTGTATATTGTTGAAGCATCTTTATTAAATTCTAAATTCTTTCACATGATATGCTTGCTAGCTAGTATATAGTACGGTACAGTTAATCTCTGGGGCAAATGTCAAATTTTCAAGAATATGATATATAATATGATATAACAGGTGATTATTTACATTTCAAATTTCAAAATTGTAAAGGATGTACCTACCACAGGAGTCCAAGCCCCTGGAATAATGATTTTCTAATAAGATGAAACTGTTTCTATAATATATTCAAATAAAAATTTTATTATGTCATTGATGCTATTTATTTTCTACTGAGGAATGATAATTATGCTGTATACTGCACAGAATCAAACTTTTCCTCACTATACCCATGAATTCTCATCCTCTAAAAATTCCCTAGCACATGATCATACTCTTTTCATTTGAAAACTGTATTGTTGATATGAATTTCTACAATTGTATATGTCTAAGAAATGTAACTCACAGTTAAGAGAATAAAGTGTTTTGATTATGTGCTGTACATGTCATATCAATTTTGGATAATGTCAATATCTCTTTTAGGCTTTCCTTTTATTTTTGGAAAAGGATGGAATTTATTAAAATTGTTTTCTTGGTTAAAATTTTGGTAAATCTGAAATGAATACCACTGAAACCAAGGGAAAACCTGAATAAACCTTGTAGCTTCGCTTGTTTTTAGTTAATTTACTTTTATTGTCAATTTTAGAGGTCACACAACCAAGAAATAGACTCCTGTTAGCTTTGCTATAAATAACACATCTAATATATGGGTTATGATGGTGATAGTTACCTATGTTGTTTTCTAGGGTACCTCAAACCAGTTGAAATCACTGACTCTTCACTTAGGTCTGTGCAAGTGTCCCATGTGTGACCTTATGACTTCAGAGGGCCCCAAATTCCCCCTTCAGGGAATGGTAATACAGTCATTTTCTAAACATACGTCCTATGAAGAACTAAGATGTTTGATTATGCAAGCAGAGACCACCTTTCCTTATCTCCAATCACCTTTCCCCATACCTCAGAATACCCTGTGTCCCACAAATAACCTAAACCCTATCCTCCCGAAGGCAGATTTGAGAGTTGGGGCTCCTGGCTTCTCACATTTGGTCAGCTCATGAATAAACTCTTTCTGTTTTACAAATCTTGTCCTTTTGGTGATTAGCATACTGTGCAGTAAGCACAAGAGGCCTCGTTTGGTAACACTATCAGAAAGAAAAATCTCTTAAAAACATTCTGGAAGATCAGTAAGGATGTGAAAATAAACACTATAAGTCATAGCTCATGGGAAATAAGAAAATTGTTAATTTCCTAATATACTTCATTAAAAGGACCATGTAGTATAGTTGAATCTACATGGTTAAGTTTTACACAGGACACTCAAACATATCTAGACTAAAAATTTTTGTTAAGAATGCTACTTTTCAGAGGTAAAGGAATTCAAATTAGAAAAAAAATTGTGAAAAGATTCTTATTTTAACCTATTTAATACAATTATTTCTTTATAAAAATATATTTTCTGATACAGATAATACACATACATTGAAGAAAACTGAAAGACTTGAAAATAAAGGAAATTAAAAAATACAAAAAGCAATTCCTTTGTAAACAGAGTCATTGGCTTGAGATCTAGAACTACTGCTAAGGATATTTTAAAGAAATTGAACCTTAATAGGGGTTAATCATTGACTCAGAGCTTTCCTAACTGAAGATTATCCACAGAAAAATGAGACTTGCTAGTGCAGCACATTCTGACTTTGTTTCCCATGAGCCTGAGGGAGTAACATGAGCACATAAAATGCAAAAGGTAATAAACGTATGTCACAAGCCCAGAGCAAAATAAAAACTTCACTGTTCTTCCTGTCAAATCACTCTTGTTCTGTGTCTTTTCCTTAATTACCAAAAGGGGGGAGGGAGAAAAAGAAAAATGTGGATACAAAACCTTTCAAGTGATTAGTTATCTGCTAATGCATGAAGAACATGCCATTATTACTAGCATAATGAGTAGGTAGCAACAGAAATCCTACCAACTTTAGGTCATTACAATGGTGCTTCTATCCCTGGTGCTTTCAACTATCAGACTAGTTGAGCTTGCCCTTTGACCTGCACATTTTAATAGAATCAAGATGGTTCTAAAAGTACTCTGCTGTGGGGTTTAAGCTTCAGAAATAGTAGGACTACCCTTCTGTCCCCTTACCCTTGCTGGGAAAAATTCAGAAACTGGAGCCAAATATTAAAGGCAAATGGAGCTCTAATTCCTTTTGATAATTTCTGAATTCTTGAGAACACAACATTTGCCTTCTATTGACAATAAATAAGAGATGTGTAATCAATGTTGAAATGATGATGGTTAACAATGTAGCAGTGTATCCCTAACTATGCATGCTATGAATTAAGGGATGTTACTGAAGTTTACCATTCCCTCTTCCTCTAAATAAGCATTTCAAATTGAACAGCTGTATAATCATGTATTAAAAATTCCATAATTCTGAAAATATCAGGAAAAAGACCTGATAAAATGGCTTCGGACATTTTAATGTCATGGACATGTAGGCATAGTTATAGTTACTATAACAGAGGTTAAATCTGAAATCTAGATTCTCTTATTGATGCATTAAATAAACGTTTGATTTTTCTGCCTTCTTTATTTGATAGGTAACCAATTAGTTATCCAGAGTGTGTAGTAGATTACCAGGACATTACTTTTACTACTTGGTCATTTCCTTCAGTTACATTTTTCTCCTACTTTCCTTGAAGAAGTTTCAGAGAAGATGGTAGATGCACTATCCATTTAAACTCTGTGAAAGTTACAGTCTGGG